CATCCATTTCCGCATATTTCATTAATATGCGGATAAACTTGTAGATGTAAGGGGAGAGTTGGGCTGGGCAGATGCAGTAGTAGCGACAAACTTCCTCCGCAAATGAGAGAAAAGGAAAGGAATAGCCTACATAGAACGGATACGCATAGAACGCGCAATATCTTGGGCGGTGTATTTGTACCACGCCGCGTCCTACTGGAACCAAATCTATGTGAGTCAGAATTTTGAACTTTGCCCTAAATTCAGTGAGATCGAACTCGTTCATCACCGATTTCGAGGCCTCTGGGTCGTCTTCAGGTAACTTTGAAAAGTCAGATCTAGTCTTTTCACTACGAAGAATTATTTTCTCCACCGTAGGAAATCTATCATCCTCAAGGGCAACAGAAACATCGTCGTCGTGATGAGGCATACATACCGCCAAGGGGGTAGGGTTAGCCACCATACCGGAGCCAGAGGGTGCGTTAACCATATTCTTGAAAAAGGATGTTTTAAGCACAGGAGTTGGAAGCAACAAAGATCGCTGGAATCAGGAGAGTGGACACGCAACGACGAAGCAAAAAGGAGACTAGGGTTCAGTATGGAGTATGAAGGAAAGAAATATAGGGGGTTCAATATTAGGAGAATTCAAAACAAACACAAATGGCCTCAGATCCCTATATATAAGAGTTTAAGCACTGAGACCGAGAAATCAGGCCATCATTACTATCACGACCCAAACCGATGGGCCATGACGAGTGCCCGAGTTCTACCTGTCGAACACCCTTAAGCATGCGTCTAAGATATAAATATGAATAACATCTATCAATAACCTGTTGAATTACGAGAATAACATACGTGAGGAAAATCTGTCCAAAAGACATATATACATATACATGCGGAATACGGTAGGGCGAGCTGACAAGGCTGCTATAGACAATTATATATCCAAAACTAGAAACCGACAAGGCCACATACTATCCAACTGTACATAACTGACTTCGTAAATCCTGAAACATTTATAATGTCATGCACGTACGTATAAATATCGTATCATGCATAGGTATAGGTGTACATAACATCATCAAGCCTCTGAGGGCATCACATCATATCATCTCGGCCACTGTGGGAAAAATCATCAACATATACCAGCTGATCACGTGGTGGTGCGTATATAACGCCGTAACCTTTTTCCATATTCCATATACATATAATATACGTGTATATAACAACATATAGTCATGGGTTAATGTACATGTATAAATGAATGAAATGCATAAGAAATACGTTAATAAGATTTCTCGGAATATCATAAGATCAATATGCCTTTTGGATAAACTTTATCAACTACGTATTTTTTTGAGACCCATGAACAGAAGATATAATTATAATTCACATGGGGAATCAAGAATATAGGCACCCCTAATACTTCTATGAATAGAGTCATTTATGAAAGTTATACGTTTGCTCGTTTCGTTTGTATCGTATAAATCATGCTAAAAAGAAAGAAGGGATAACCTTAACATACCGGGATTCCTTAAGCAATTGAGACCTGAGGCGCATGAACCCTCTTGAGAAGTTTCAAGATTTTATCATCTTGGACATGCTTAGAGACGTTTTTAACTAAACATAAAATATACATCAAATATTCACTTTCTACAAGATGAAGTAAACACTCTATCTCTTAGATTTTGGTGTTTCATGGAGACTTTAAACACAATCTTTTATATTAGTGGTGTGGGCTTACTTAGTAGATGACTTGGCCTTCTAAATGCCACCTTTTACATGAATGTAAGAGTCATAATCTCCTAAGACAAAAACTGCCACGTTGATATTCAAGAGATTTATCCAAAGATCTTAAGTAATTACCCACCAATTTCTTAATTGACTTGGTAATCTCCCACTAATCAATAATTAATCAATTACTCACATAATTAAGAATTATCTCAAATTACTTAAAATACTACTCACTTTTAACACACTTTATGTACTCTACTATCATGGTCATGTGGTACCTTGTATGACACTAGTCCATAAATATCGGGTATTATAGCTCAGACCGTATTTTATCCCAAATTGACAACTTTCGACGAAACTCATTTTTTTTATTCGTTTACCCTTTAACCTTCATGGTACTTACTTATCGCATGTTATAAATAGCATAAATGCTTATAACCTCAAAAATAATATCATTCCCAAGTCTACGTCGATTAATTTATGGCGAAATTTTAACGCACAAAAACGCAAAATGTAACAATTACCCAGCGCAGGTATCGAAATGGCAGAGGCGCAAGAAACGACGCAAGGCATCGGGAAAATGCTTCATAATGACGCATGATGTCATGACGTCATTCTGAAACAATGCATCCCTAAAGTTTGCAACTCACGAAAAGTCATGTTGCCACCTCGCCTAAAGCGCCGCTACCCAACTTGATCGCCCGATTTCGTCAACTACAACAAACAGAGTCCGCTCATTAAGGCCGTCCGAGCTCGGCCTTAATAAGTGGAGGGACTAACTATATAGGCCAAAACTTTTCTTCAGAATATTTAGCATAATATGGCATTAAAGATTCGGTTCAAAATTTATTTTTTCGGATTTTATGCCCACCTCTAGTTACAAGTACTATGATCTGAAAGCACATAAATATTTTATCACTGTGGATGTAACTTTTTTTGAAACATCACCCTATTTTCCACTAGACACTACAAACAAGAATTTGGTTCCTCAAGTTTTGCCAGTGCCTATATTTCTCGTGCCACAGGTTAGTCTTCCAGACACCCCTATAGTTGTTCCCCCTCCCTTTCAAGTATACTCCAGACGTATTCGCCCTATTGCTAATACCAATAATATCACTACTCCTGATCCAGATACATTGGTAACTCCTGATGACTCATATATTGCTCCTCTGTCACCTACTCCAGTCATTCCTTCATCAGATGCAGCGACTCCACCAATTGCCATATGCAAAGGTATACGTACTACTCGACAACCAGAAATATATAATTGTTTAAGCTATCATCGGTTGTCCCCATTATACTACACCTTTGTATCTACCCTATCTAATATACTTATACCAAAGACTATTAGTGAAGCATTGGAACATCCAGGATGGAGAGATGCTATGATCGAAGAAATGACTGCTATAGCAACTAGTAACACTTGGGATTTGGTCCAGGTACCAAAGGAAAAATCTACTATTGGATGTCGATGGGTCTATACAGTAAAAGTGGGATCAGATGGAAAACTTGATCGATTAAAGGCTCGCCTTGTTGCCAAAGGATGCACCCAAATCTATGGCCTTGATTACGGTGATACATTCTCTCCAGTTGCCAAGATTGCATCTATTCGACTGCTTATCTCCTTAGCAGCAATGCATCAATGATCACTTCATTAACTGGATATTAAAAATACTTTTTTGCATGGCGAGCTCGTTGAGCAGGTTTATATGGAGCAACCTCCTGGGTTTGTTGCTCAGGGGATTCAGACTTCGTATGTCGTCTAAATCATTCTCTATATGGCCTCAGGCAATCTCCGAGAGCATAGTTTGGTAGATTTAGCTATGTTGTCCAACAGTTTGGGATGTCACGGAGTGAAGTAGATCACTTTGTTTTCTATCGACATAATGGTCCAGAAAAGAATATTTATTTGGTCGTTTATGTTGATGACATTTTCATAACTGGAAATGATCAAGAAGGAATATCTCAGCTAAAACAATATCTATTCAAATATTTTCAGACCAAAGACTTGGGGAAGTTAAAGTATTTTTTGGGAATCGAGGTAGCACAATCTAAGACAGGCATTGCTATCTCACAGAGAAAATACGCTTTGGACATACTTGAAGAGACATGCATGTTAAACTCTAAACCTATTGACACCCCCATGGATCCAAATGTTAAACTCGTGCCTGGACAGGGGGAGCCATTGGAAGACCCTAGCAGATACCGAAGACTGGTTGGTAAACTAAATTATCTCACTATCACACGACCAGATATTTCATTTGTAGTAAGTGTGGTTAGTCAGTTTCTCCAAGCTTTGTGCAAAGATCATTGGGATGTAGTAATTCGTATTCTCAGATACATAAAAAGAGCTCCAGGACAAGGACTGATATATGAAGACAAAGGTCACAAAACATTATTAGATATTCTGATGCAGATTGGGCAGGTTCTCTGTCAGATAGACGTTCTACTTCTGGGTACTATGTCATGATTGGAGGGAATCTAATCCCTTGGAAAAGTAAAAAGCAAGACGTTGTTGCTAGATCTAGTACAGAAGCAGAATATCGAGCTATGGCCCTTGCCACATGTGAGCTTATTTGGTTGAAACAACTCCTCCGAGAGTTAAAATGTGTCGAATTCAAACAGATGAAGCTTATATGTGACAATTAGGCTGCCCTTCATATTGCCTCTAATCCCGTTTTTCATGAAAGAACGAAACATATAGAGGTGGATTTTCATTGTATTCGGCAGAAGATCGAGTTCGGATGCGTTGCCACCAGCTTCGTCGGTTCAAATGACCAATTGGCATATGTGCTTACTAAGTCCCTTAGAGGAGCTCGGATTGAACACATTTGTAGCAAGCTTGGAGCATATAACATGTTCGCTCGAGCTTGAGGGGGAGTGTTAGATATTGTGAGAGAGTATTTTAAATATTAGATTGTATGTCGGATAGATAGTCAAATATTGTAGGTAGAAGGAGTGATCCGAGGGATGCATTGTTGACTTATGTGTCTAGCTTTTATGTATATATTCTCGATATAATCTATCATTTTAAGTATGAAGTGAAATATACTTACATCATTCACAAGGACCAAGGTTAATTAGCTTATTACACACTTGGATGCTCCTCAACAAAACTTGAAAACTTAGTGTTTATTTCATGATTCATAAATGCAAGACTTGAGTTTGTCAGCACGAGCACATTTACGATATGTAAACTTATTGCTGGTGAAAGGAAAAAAAAAATAAAAAATTATTGCTCAAATATTATATTTTATTAATATTGTAGTGATATTGATCTGTCGCATTATACTTGTGCACCAATGTTATTGCCACTTCCTAAATAAAAGAAAAAAGAAATACTATAACATTTGAGCCATAACTAGAAGAGCTTGTCCAGCATTTTTTTTTATCCAAGGCAAAGGCCTCTTTCTACCACAGCATCCTTGATAAGCTTTAGAGATTGTTCAAAATCGTCCAGCAGTTGATGTGGATCAGGAATCACACTTTCGTCTGCTGATAGAACTATTGTCATCTTGTTAATATAGCTCTGGAAATTAATCATCAGCGCCTGAAATTTAAATTCGGGGTTATGATGTAAATATAATCTAAACAAGATCACTCTATCTATAGATATATCATTACGATTTGGTCAAGCAAATCAGTACTTACATGAGGTTGCCCATAAGAACTGGGTGCAAGGTAAGCCATAGGGTGCCCATAGAAGCCAATTTCCTCTTGAGGACCAACCAAATTGGAGAAACACAGTGTTGTATTGGTAAGAATTCTGTGCGATATTGTACTTGAAGCCTGAAATTAATTTATTTTTTTCACAGAAGAAAAAAGGGTCAAATTTTGTAATTAATGAAATCTTATGTGAAGGATGAAACATTGAGAAGTGATTATGCCGTTACCTTAATCCCAAAAAGCTTGAGTGCTAATTTGGAGATGGAAAATGTGCAGATAGCTTCAAGAGAGTTTTTCTTCTTACGATCAATGGTTGCCTTAACTTCTCTAATATAATCTAAAGGGTCATCTCTTAATGCAATTTTAAAGGGTAAAAGGACATAACCAACGCAATTGCCCCACTTTGCCTCAGTGTCCTTGGCCATCATATCAGCTAGAGCCTATATATGTATTTGTTAAACACGAAAAGAATGTCAATAACTTGGCTTGAAGTAAGCTAAGGAAGTTGAAGTGCGAAGATTTTGAAGAAAGAATGGATGCCATCACCTGAATTCCAGTCCTTGATCTTAAGTTAATAAGAAGTGTTGATCTGAGTCTTATGTTCTTAGGGAGATTATTGTTTTTCTCTGTTGCTCCCTTGTCTTTCTTACCCTCACCTGCCAAATTTTGCATTAAAATTTACTGCCATGACTCTGTATTCCCAGCAGTTCAAACAATAAAAGTACTGTTTAAACTAGTTTTTAATTCTTTTTGAATCTAACTTATTTACTCTGATCGTGTAAAGAAAATAGAGATTACAATATTTGTGTAATTTTACATGTTCTATATAACAGGTTGCCTACCTTCTTGTTATTAACAACTACTCCTAATACATGAGGCAGACGAACTTACCATATCTCCTGTTAAGATAGATAGATAAACCAGCCTGTGTTACTCCCACGGCGACATCGTTTATTGTCTGTGCAAGAAATAACAAAATCAATAGACATATATTAGCAACATCTAACATACATCATAGCATTTGATTGGACTAAGAATATATGTACCATATTTAATGTATTTTTCACCAACTTCAAATCATCAAGACTGATTGTCCTATGAGCAAGTCGCCTAGGATTAAACTCAGAACCAGGCCTGCCCTTAATTGGCGTATTTGTGTCCTTCAAAAAAACAGTCGTGGCCATAAACATCAACACATCTACTATTGTGTTCCAAAACAATCTCATAAATGACCAAACTTTTGCAACATATGGCCACAATCCCTTTGACCTCGAATACTGGTCCGAAGAATTAATAGGCCTCTTTTTATTTCCTGGAATAGTTGGAAGTTTATCTGGATGAGCAGTTTGGCGAGTACAGGCGAGTAGAAGGGACATAAAAGAGGTGCCATCTCCAAGTGAATGGTGGATTCGTAAAACGGCAACAGCCTCAGCATCTGATGTTTTGACGTTGAGAAGATGGAGATCCCAGAGAGGTTTTGACTTGTCAAGTGTGGTTTTGCTAAGGTTGTGAATATAGTTATCCACGAATTTGTCTGGTGATTCCTGCAGGTTTTGTTCATCCACTTGTGGCACTACAACGTGCTTTTCTACGTCCACCTTTGTGCGCACCCATTTCATTTCTCCATTATTTTTCTCATCCACCACCTTACAAAGAATGAAACATGTAGTTTAAGAAGGCATACTAGCTACTAAGTCAAAGATCGAAGGCATATGATTTTTTTTTGTTATTTTGAAAATCCTCTTTTTTAGTAGTTAACAATACTATTATTTATGTATCGGACGGTTAAATATGTTCAGTCAAATATTACAATTTTCGTACCTGGAGGCTGGAGAAACGAGGATGCTTAACGAAAGTATGGACCAACTGCTCTTTGATAACTTGAGGATTGATTCTTGATTTGCTGCCCATTATGGATAAAACGTGGACGTTGAAGTTGGGCTCGTGAAATAACCTTGCTGACGGACTTAATGGCTCTTCTTCAGCTGCTTCCATGGCTAATTTTGGCTTAGTTTGAATCGGTTTCAGACTCGGTTTTATCAATCTTATGGACTCCATTAATGCAGAGAACTTGTTCTCAATAACGTCTAGCTACTAACTACTTAATAGTAATAACTTTTCTGTTGTTTTGAAAATGGGTTTCTGTTGCTTGCTTTATATATAAGTTGGAAAACCAAAGTACGTATTTACTTTCGTCAACATGAATATAGCTGAAGGTTGATGATTGTGCTATAAATGGCAATTGTGTCAGGTCAACAAAGAGCAGTAATAGTTTATTGCTTTCTTTTAGCTCACTATTATCCCAAAATCCTCTAAGAGACAGTTGTTTTGGGAAACCATAGCCTTTGGGTTTTCCTTGGGAAACAGTTTTGGTTTTACTGTAGGGCCACATGTATGTATGCGATAAAGAGAGTTTAATTGTCCCCTATACTATGCAAATAGAATAGAAATAAATGCTTTGTATGTGCATACATAATACATTTATTAATCCCTTTGATTATAGTAATTATTACATATAGTGGCAAAGGTGGTTCAAATTTTTTGTTCAAATCTCAAATGTTGCATTCTGATAGTATCTTCTTCTTTTTTTTTGCATGGTTTTCTTGACCCGTTTTGATATCTGTCGATCCATCTACAGCTTACAAAGCCTTTATTAACTTCTATTGATCTCTAGCTGCATGCCAACTGCACTAGATCTCTTCTTGTCAGGTTTTCGAGTCCTAAACTTGTCACAAACGATTAAAGAGATTTTTGTGATTTTTTAAGGCCGTTAGGCTTTACTTTTTCCAAGAATGAAAAGAAAGTGAGTTGAGAATATGCACACGTACAACTTTTTGTCCTTTTTTTCTTCTAATTTTCTCTTTTGTGAAGTCATTCGGTCCAAATGTAGTGCGGCTGTCTAAAAAAGACTATGGAAGCAGGGACGATGCAGTGATTGAACCCGTAACTTTCGACCTCGAATAAAAATTTACATGTAAAAGTTAATTCGTTAAATTTTGGCAGATATGCATAACTTTAAAAATATACAACAATAGCAACAATCCAGTATAATCTCACTAGTGAGGTTTGGGGAGGGTAGTGTGTACGCAGACCTTACCCCTACCCTGGGGTAGAGAGGTTGTTTCCAAATGACCCTCAGCATCCTTCCCTCCAAGAACTCCACACCTTGCTCTTGGGGTGACTCGAACTCACAACCTCTTGGTTGGAAGTGGAGGGTGCTTACCATCAGAGCAACCCATAAAGTTTTATACCATTAAAAATATAATGGGTTTAATTTTAAAACAATTTTAAAATTTTAAAAGTTGAACCCACAAAGTTTAAATTCTGGATCCGCTTCTATACGAAAGAATATTTATGAAACTCTCGTAAAAGGTTGAAACTCTCGTAAAATTTTAAAAGTTGAACCCATAAAATTTATATATATATATACGCCGACTTTCTTTGTAATAAGCGCCATTCAAGAAAGGACAGAGTTAAACGTCTGTTTCTTGATAAGCAAACATGGACTCGAGAGTTTTGCTGATCTCCAACTAGCAAGTTAGATCTGATTATTCTATTATTTCAAGCTATATATTAGTGATCTCATCACGTGTACTCATCAGCATGCAATTATCTAGTCAAAGACCCAATCATGTTCTCTATTATAGCTGCAATGCATCAGCTGGTCGAAATAAAGTCTTTGGCCATTTCCTCTTCTTCTACATCTCCTAATGTCCCATACAATCATGCTAATAAATAAATAAATAAAAGGTGATTATTTAATTAAAGTTTGTATTTTTATGAGCAAGTTATTAATTTTAGTAAAGGAAATGAACAAGAAGAATGACAACATAAAACCTCGGAATATTCCAAATAAAACTTCTAAAATGGATGGCCGCGCCGCCTGACGATCTCCCTTCTTTTTTCTTACTTAAAGTGATTGGTTTTTACTAATAAAAAATAATGAAACAAAATATGAGAGTAAGACAAACCAACTCCCGGTAATACAAATGAGAGAAAGTGGACGTATCCAATTTCCTCTACATGTTAAAAAAAGAGAAACAATGAAAACTACGTTATCCTTGGATACAAGAAGATCAGATGTCAGCAAAATGAATCACCACCGAATACTTATTCTTAAACAGTACTTCCTTTCCCTTGTTTTATTTGGAGAGTACAGGACGTTCTTCTTTGATCACATTTTTTTAGATATTTCGCAAATATTCTAAATTATTATAATTTATAATATTATTTTACAAACTGTAAATATGTAAATTTTATTTTCAAAAACTTGAAGAATTTATATTTAAATTTACGGTTAAAATTATGAAATTTGACCCTCGTACTCCGAACCTTGCCACATAAAGTGTAACGAAGGGAGTACATTAATTCATTAAACCCTTTAAAATTTGTAGATTTAAAATTATAATATTTAAGTTGTTATTACATATCAGCTTGTTTTATGTAACACTCCGTAAATTCGGACTAGGTGTGGATGTGTTAAATGAGTATTAATTTGATATTTTAGACATGTGAAATCATATCGAGATGAGTATGGGTGGAAATAGTTGTTTTGGAATCAAGACGGAGAGTGAGGTGCATAAAATTCGATAAAATCGACTAAGTTTATGGAAGATCTGTCTTCCAGCCTGATTTCGTGAAGATCTATTAGGAATTTGAGAAAACTTAAAACATGAAAGTTGTAGATATTTGAATACATTTCCAATGATATATTGTGGAGCTCGAACGGATCTTTATAAAAAAAAGTTATGTATATTTAACTGGACAATGCGCAGTATGTATGCCCAGGTGCGCGCCCAGCTGGTCCCGTGCGCAGCTGCGCACTTGTGGCAGTGCTATTGCCCTTTATGCGCGTCCAGGTCTGCTGTTGGACCTTCAGTTGCATATAAGCGCACCCGAAAAGTCGTTTTAAAAGCCCTACTTCGTCCCCCACACCCCAAAACACGAAAACTTATTCTATAAAGGGAAGCTCTCAAGAACCTAACTTCCCCAAGGTCCCTCCATCATCCAAGGTAAATTCTAATGATGATTTTAAGTTAATTTCAATTCTTCAACACCTTATTAACATGAGTAAACCCTCCAAATCATTAGATATCCGGGACATCATTGTTGAGAAAAGAAACCCTAAAACTCGAATTCAAGAAGATTGAACGTCAAAGGGTAATATCTTCACCTTCTAATTGATTATAGCATTGGCTTAATGATTATAGACTCTAAGTTCATGAGATATGAGTTGATGGGTTTGATAGAAAAGCATGAACAGTTATAGGTTTGGGTTGTTGATTGTTGATTATTGGTTAAGAGTCTTGTTTATCTTATGGGTGATAAATGATATTGATTATAAGAAATTTGAGATTTTATAAGTAATCAAAACATGATTATTATTGCTAATATGGAATTCCTTTGACTTGTATTGATATAGATTAAAGTTAAAAGGGTTGGCGAATGTTGTATTACGCTCAAGAGTAGGAAATTAAGGTATGTGAGGTTAACTCTCTATGTTTGGGAATGTTAATGATTCTCCCCATACTACATTTCTTTTACGACATTACTAACTACCTCAGAAATATAGGTAAGCTAGTTCCTTGAATAGTTGCAGAACTTCTATTCTCTAATTTCGTAACTCGTTCATGACTTTCATTATGAACGTTGTGAGCTCAGGCCTAATCAATATAGACTTGGGTTTAATGCCCCTGAGTCTCAGTCTAGATTACTCATCAATTCATAAACAGTTGAAGATTCAATTTTCATAATCGGTTTATGAATACATGTCTCAGTCTAGTCCTATTCAGTATTCCAGTATCATGTAACTCAGTATGATTCATTATTTCAGCATCACGTATTGCAGTATGATTCTCAGTTCCTGAATTTAAACCCATGAATGTTAAACACCTGTATTGGGCTTGAGGCCGTAGTTTATGCTTTATGCATATTTGGGCCTGAGGCTGTAGTTTATGTTTTATGCACGTTTGGGCCTGGGGCCGTAGTTTATGCTTTATGCATTTTTGGGCCTGAAGTCGAAGTTAGGGGTGTTCAAAACCGAACCAAAACCGAAAATCGAACCGCAAAAGTGGCTTAATGGCTTATTGGTATCAGGTTATCGGTTTAACGGATGGGGAACAGATTGAAATTTTATTATTAACGGCTTATCGGTTTGGGAGCGGATTATTCAATTTTCTTA